TCTGAGGATGGGTCTCCTGCATGGGAAAGCCTCCCCCCCTCCCCCACCCCCTGGAGCGCACAGTAGTAAGGCCTTGGTGATGTCACTGAGTCCCAAATAGGGGAGCCCCGAAGATCAGCAAAGCCTGGGCCTGCTGTACCAAGTTGGAAGGAGACGGTTGAGTCCTTGTGACTTCAGGGGCTCTGACCTGGAGGCTCCCAGCACAGGCCACAAGCTGGATCTGCGCCATCTGCTCCAGACACCCCCAACTAGGGCTGTGTCTAGACCCAGAGCTCCAGCGCCCACAGTTCCAGGCCTCACGGCAAAATGGCTTCTCAGTGTGGATGCTTCCCGACTCAGGCAATGAGTAGGCTGCCTTGCGGGGCTCAAACCCTGCTATCTGGAGACCAGGGAGCTGCTATGGGACTGGCCGGAGGACGAAGAGGTGGCGGCGCTGAGCTGGGAGAAGCCACTGGTACAGGATTCCAGGCTGGACATGGAGCCCCTAGGGAGGAAGAGCACACACCTTACTTTCGCATGGCGACAGGGCCCTGGGGCCCACACAGCAGGGGATACGCTGTCGATGCTGCAAACGAGCCCCCAGGGCTTACTCCGCACGCTGGGAACCGCCAGCGTCAGGGCCAAGCACAGAGGGGAAGCCAGTGATGGAGGAGACAGCAGGCCTCGCCCACTTCCCTGCACCGAGTCCCAGCACAGGGCTTCTCTGACCAGGGCCCCAGGGTGACCTTGAAGGCTCCACAGCCCCACCGCCAGCCAGCCTCACTCTCTGGCTCTCTGTTGTGGAACCACACAGGCCTCTTCCAGCTCCTCGTTAGCTCCTAGCTACCCAGAACAAAAGCACAGCGGTGTGGGCGAGCACTTCCCGTGATGGAAGCGTGGTCCCAGTCTGCACCACCTACCAGGGGGTGCGGAGCACTTGAAATGCAGCGGATGCAACTGAAGAGCTGGATTCTAATTTTACCACCCCACGGCTAAGGCTGCGTTTCTGTAAGGTACTGGAGGCTGCCAGATCGCACGGCACAGTTTCAGGCCTTCGCTACTGAAAGCGCCACCCTGGGACCAGTGGCTCGGGCAGCACCAGGACTCACAGGGATACAGAAGCCCAGGCCCCCAGCTGCAGAATTGCCCGTTCCCAGGAGACCCCCCAGTGGTTTGCACACGCACCTCTTAGATCTCGATGTCAACAGCACCACCCGGCCCTGAGGGCTCTGACAGCGGGTTTAGTCCACTTGCACCTCCTGGCTGTGCGACCTTGGGCAAGGACCCCGGGCTGCACACACCTGCGTGGCACCGCTGTGGCCCACAATCACACACGGGTGTATCTGCTCCCCGCTCCATGACTGAGGCCCTGCCTGTCCCCGGCATCCCAGCACCTGCCCTCTGAGCTGCTTTCCCACCGGGCTCCTGAAGGACAGGAAAGCAAGGTCCCCCCACGCCGGCCCTGACAGGCTGGGATGTGGTGTCCAGCATCCCCTCCAGGCCTTCCCCTCCCAGCACCTCGGGGCAGACTGGTGCAGTGTTCTCTCAGGAGGCCGCAGTGCCCTGGGGCCCCGGGACCGGGGTCTCGGCACCCTCCTAAGAGCCTCCATTTTACCCCAGAGCGAAGACTCTGAGGCATTATCTTTAGATAAAACGAACACACCGGACTAGCTGCAGGACACGGCTGTGATATGCTAGTCGAGAGGGTCCCTGACCCCAGATGCCACCGGCTGGAGAGCTGGGGGAGGGGCACAGTGACCAGGCCCTGTGGGAGCTCTCCTACCCGCCCCTTCTGCTCTGTCATAAATAAAGAAAAAAGACTTTGGGGGCCAGCATAGTATAGCTGTTGAGGCACTAGATTCCCACGTGGCTGACTACGGTTCAAGTCCCAGACCCAGAGGCTTGAAACCCACAGCACATGTGTGCATGTGTGCCCCAAATCCCTAGAACAGAATACAGGAGGGCTGTGGATGCCCACCCCCTGGGGCTGATTTCTTACCTTCTGTCTCTCCAGTGAGTACACACGCCCTATAGCAAAAAATCTCTCTTTAAAAAAAATACTTTGAAAAATAAAACAAAAACCTCACAGATACATCACCAAGCGAGACGTGAATCATATCCATTTTCAAAAGGTAAAACAGAAGTGTGTGAAGTGCCTGCTCCCCCCCAGGTCCCCTGCTTCATTTCTGCTCTCGCACCTGCTGTACCCCCAGGTAACGGGGCTGTGACGGCTACGAGCAGCTGACCGGACCCAGGACCTTTGGCCAGCTGCGCTCCTGGCCCCTACCTGAAGTCCTCGGACGCCAGCACCTCACAGTAGTAGAGGAGTTTACACTTGGGGCCGGGGCTGTGCAGGGCTGTCAGGACGTCGTCCACACCCGGCAGGCTGCAGGCCACACTGCCGGGAGGGCTGTGCATTTGCCACTGGAGCAGGTAGACCCCGGGCCACCGGGTCACGTGGGAGCCCTGAAACAGCAGCCACACCGAGTCCTGAGCCCTGAGGGCTCCCTGTGGCCAGGCCGGGATAATGGGCTCCCTCCCCCTCTGCCCCTTCCTCTAACCCACCCACAAGCTCCCTGTAAGGGGCCCCAAGCCATTCTTGCTGTTACCCCATATCCCAGAACTAGAATTCCTTCTTAATCTTGGGGGAAGGAGGAGGCTGGGGGTGGCATGCAGCTGCAGGACAACAGGGGTGTTGACACCTGGGTTCTATGGGCTGAGCGGGATTTGCAAGCCTAGGAGATCTGGAGGACCCTGGGCGGGAAGCCTTCGCGTGCTGGAGTTTGTTGGGGCTGAAGAGCCAGATAGAGAGGTGTCAGTGTGACAGGAGGCACTGTGAGGAAGGGGCGAGATGTCCAGAGGTCGAGGGGGTAGTGTGTGAGGGGACAGCTTCCGTGACCTACTCCAGGGACCCTATGGTGAGACAGCAGTGTTTGCCAGCTTGTGGAGCCATGTGCATGTGTGTGTGTGTGCACTGGTGCGTGTGCGTGTGTGTGTGCACATGTGCATTGCATGTGTGTGTGCATGTGCAGTCTGTGGACTTCTCATGCAAAGAACTTGGACATCAAATGAAACCTCCTCCCAGCATGAGTCCGTGTACCAGGAAGAACGGTGTCCCGGATGCATGGATCCCTGGAATCCCAGAATGAGACCTGGTTTGGAAATAGGTCTCTGCAGTTAAAGACTGAGGCCCTAAATACAAGGTGCCCTTCGAAGACGGAGGGAGGAAGATTTGAGACACAGAGGGAGGCCACGGAAGGATGGAGGCGGAGACAGTGATTCTACGCCAAGGACCACTGGGAACCCTGGGAGCTGCCAGAGGCATGGCATGGGATCAGAGCCTACAGAGGGATCAGGGCCCTGCCAACACCCTGACTTTGGACAGCGTCCTCCCGAACTGAGATGATAAATTTCTGTTGTTTTAAGCCACCCCGTGGGTGGGGACTTGTCAGGCAGCCCTAGGAATTGAGTTATTAATCGATCCCTATAGGATTCTCGTTCTCAGATGGGGAAACTGAGGCGCCCGCCCCCAGCAGAGCACTACATACTTTCTCGACGTCGCACTGGCCACCATCCAGCCAGGCAGCACCCCCAACATTGCATGCATCCCCCTCCCCACTGTCCTGCAGGTTCTCTGAGGCGGGAACCACCCCCAGTTCCCCACAGCTGCGTCCCCGGGAGCCCGGCCCATGCCTGATACTCAGCTCTGCACGAGGGTCAGCCCGCAACGCAGAGAATGCAAACCTGGATGCTCTCCCCTTCCCTGCAGACAAGGGGGGCCTCCACGCGGCTGTAATCGGTGCCCAGGACCCAGCCTTTGTCGATCAGCTGCCCGCTGGCCCTGGCCCCAGGCTCCCGGGCGCCCGGCTTGGGCACCTGCTTGGTGTGGTATAGGCTGAACACCACGTCCCCTCGCAGGATGTCGAAGTCCCAGGTGATGACTGACTCCCCCTCCAGAATCTCCACTGCGACCTGCATGAAGACGGGCGGGGTCTGAAGGTGCCACCGAGAGCAGGTGCTGGGACTGGGCAGGTGGCAGCAGCGGTACCCACGGGGGCCTCCTCTCCCGGGCCGCACACTCAGGCCCACCGCGGGGCCGCAGCTGCTCAGGGCCCTGGCTTCCCCTCCCCATCCCACAATTGCCTCACAAATGGGGCCACCTCTCCCTGAAAGCCCTGGAGGTTCCACCTGGGTGACCCTCAGCCAGTGACGGATGTGAGGGCACACGCCAGCCTCCCTGCCCTCTGCCCATCTCTCCAGCCGGCTCGCCCACCACACATCGCTGGCACGAGGACCCCGACAACTCCCCAGCCCAGGGCTCCCCCAGCTCGCCCGGCACCTCGTGGGGGACCCCGCGGAGCACGCTGGCTGAATGGTAGGTCTCGCTCCACTGCCGCGGCTGGTCTTGCTCCTGCTCCTCCTCCGTCAGGTAGAGGGACTTGGGCACCAGCCCTCCTTCGGGAACATTACACTGCGGCCGGAGGCAACGGGCACAGTTAGGGCCGTCCAGGCCTGGCCTGACCCACAGAAGCATCCCCTGAGCCCTGAAACAACGCAGACCAGCAACCCTCACAGAGGAGGGCATCGAGGCTCAGAGTCAGGCCACTTGCTTAAGGTCACACGGGGGCAAGTGGCTGAGCCAGCTCGTGTTCCTGACACAAGCTGGACCAGTGTCCAGGCTGGAGGCCTCTTCCACACGGCACCCCCTCAGCAGTGGGGACAGAACAGTCACTGAGGCTGTCATAATCTGTGGGTTTCCCCAAACCAAAGGGGTCCCCAAGGGCCAGGCCTTGGGAGACCCTCTGCCATCAGTCAGTGACCCACCCGCCTCATTTCACCTGCTAAAAAGTTCATGCCAGCCACGCACGGTCACTGCCCACCCTCCTTCAGAGAGTCCCCTCAGAGCTGCTGGCCCTTGTGCCCTAAGTAAGCCACAAATGTGGATGAAGACGGGGAAGACAGGTGAGCCTAGGAAAGTTCCCATGGAAGGTCTTTTTCTAGCCAGAATTATGCCCGCTTGCTGCTTGGTATTTCTTTTTTTTTTGGAGAGATTTTCACTGTAGGGCGCGTGCGCTCGCCAGACAGACAGAAAG